TACCTTTTTACTATACTTTATCTTATTAAGGTATAATTTAATAAGGTTAGTAAGCTAGTAAGTTATAAGTAAGGTAGTAATAACTAGTGTAACTAATAGGTAAAAGTAAGTATTACTTACCTACTTAAATAGTAAAGGAATAAAACTTAGGTTATTATATAATAAGGCTAGATTAATAGGCCTTTATTAACCTTCTTAGACTTAAGTAACTTATACTAAGGGGGTAATAATATAGGAGGGGCCTAGTTAATCTTATATTAATATTATTTCTAGTAGTAAGTCTATAATATCTTATATAAAGTTAGGTTTATTAATCTTTAAGTAAAAATCCTTACTCTTTTTTTTTTTTTTTTTAATATCCTTAAGCGTCTACACCTTTAGATTATTAGCCTTAAGGGTATAGTAAATTTATTTAGTAATAGTTAGTAACTTTACTATTAATACCTATATACCTCTATATATTAAGTAGTCTTTAAATTTAATAATAGTTTTATAAGTAGTATCTTTAAAGGTATTAAGTAACTATTTTTTAAAGTCTTTAGTAGTATATCTTTATAGCTATTAACTATATAGCTATATAAAGCTATATTATATTATTTAAAGTATAATAATAGTACTTAAGGCGTTATATTACTTAACTTAAGTAAGGCTGTTAGGAATATTAGCTAAATTAGTTATACTTTATAGTTATATAATAATAAAAGGCTAGCTACACTTTAGGATAAGATATAAATCCTTAATATCTTATAAATAAATATACTTTTTTACTTTAGCTAGTGCCTATAGTTTATTTTACTTTTTACTTAGTTTTTTTTTTACTATTATTACTTTTTATTAGCCTTACTAACCTCTTAATTATAAGTACTTACTTTTTACTTATAAGGTTAAAAGTAAATCTATACGTTAGAGGAATTACTACTATTAGTATAAATAATAATAAAATAAGTAAATAAATAATATAATATAAAGAGATATAAGTAAAAAATAAAGTAAATAAAAAAATAAAATAATAAATAAATAGATAGTAGTAAATAGCTTTAGAGAGGCCTTATACTTTAGTAATATAAAAAGATAGCTTTAGGGAGGCCTTACGCTTTAGTAATATAAAAAGATAGCTCTAAGGAGGCCTTACGCTAGATCTTACTTAAAAAATAAAAGGAGATATATACTACCTCTAAAAGGAGATATATATAGACCTTACTTTTTAATAAGTAGGATACTATAGTTAAAGATTTTTAAAGGAAAAAAAAAAGAAGTTAAGGTTATATACCTTACTTAAAGGTAAATAATAAGTAGTTTTTTTAGATTAATTAAGATAGTAAAGTTAAGTAAAAGTTATATTAGTTACTAATAACTATACCTTACTTAAAGAAAAAGAGAAAGTAAAAAAGATAGTATAGTTATTAATAGGTATTTAAAAAATAAAAAAAAGTAAGTAAATTAAAGTAATATAAATAACTTTTACTTTTTTTACTTTACTTAAAAAATAAAAAGAGGTATACTTACTAAAGGTAACACTTAGCTACTAATTATTTAGTTAAAAAAAGAAGTTATAATTACTATAAGCTATACCTAGCTAATAATATAATATTAAAAGTATATAAAAATAAGATTAGTAAAAGCTATTTACTTATAAATACTATATTAAAAGTAAATTACTTAGGTAGTTCTTACTTAACTACTTTATAGCTAGTCTTATTAGTAAGATCTTATTTAGATAAGAACTTATAGAAGTTTATTTACTTATAATTTTATATAAGCTATTACTACTATAGTAAGATAAAAACTTAGTAAGATAAAAATCTTAATAATTAAAAAAAAAGGTTAAAAAATAAAAAAAAAAGAACTTAAAAAAACTTAAGTATAAAAAGAAGATAATTATACTAAATACTATAAAAGTTATTAGTAAGTAAGTAGTATATAAAAAAAAAGACTTTTCTAAAAGTAATAAAGTTAATAGTAGTAATAGTAGTTATTATATAGTAAATATAAGGCTTAAAGGGTTATTTACTAGGTATTATAAGATCTTAAGTACTAATAATCTTTAGGCTAGGTAGCACTTTAATACTTTAATCTAAGCTACTATAGTAAGTAAAGTATTATAGCCTTTTTTAATAATCCTTACTAATTTATAGTAGTAGTAACTATAAAGTTAACTACTAATTAGTATTAGTATTATAAAGATTATAATTATAAAGTAGTAATAGTTTAATTAACTACTAGTTACTTATTAAGATAGATAATAAGAAAAGAAGAAGAAGTTATTACTATAGATATTTATAGTAGTGTAAGTGAGCCGCTGGGGTAAGTCCGTGATAGTAAATCACGTGACCATGGATCGGCTCCACCATTGAACAGTTGAATATCCCGACAAGATCATATAGAGCGGGATGGTTAGTTTGACGATGGTCGGGCCCCGGATCCCAAGATGTCGTTCTATTTGGGTCATCGCACCGGACGTGTGCCTGATGAACTCACTAGTGAATCACCTATAGGCATGCTGCGTCAGATGTTGCATTTCATAATAGTTGAAGATATGGGAGGTACTTCTGGCGTTCACTGGACGCATGTCGCATGGCCGGAGAAGTGCAAACTAGATCGATTCCCCCTCACGCCACAAAGTGGTGTGCTTGCCGCTCACCCGAACGAAGCCCAGGGACCTAGACAGCTGCCTGCTAAGTAGACTCCGTTTTAAACCTCATTTCGCTGCACAGGTCACTGATAAGCGTCTTGATGGAGGCCTGCTGGGGGTCCGAGCTAAGACACGGGCCGTTGCCGAGCCACACATGTCTGTGAAAACTTATGGATCCCGACTCCTATCTTTATCTGAAGGGGGGAGGAACACATCGTTTACGGCACAACTATTCGGGAGCTGAACTTGTAGAGTATTTAAACGATGACAGGCACATACTATAGCTTGAGATGGCATTGAAGTGAGTGCTGGGAATAGCTCTAGCGATATATTACTGATGGCATTGTTTGGAGATCGGTGGGCTTCGGCTTGGTATGGTAACATCAAGACACACTGACAGGACGCCACGCGAGCCATCAAAAGCCGACTATACTGTTAATAACTGAATGATACCATCTTTGCTTTGAGCTTCGGCACTCTGCGATCGGCTTGTTGTCCCAACTTCAAAAAATTTCGCAATAAACTCAAAGGGATGGACAATCAACCGAACAAGCCCTTCTGCATCGTTGCGTCTCAAATTAAGTGTGGAGACCGATGGATTATCAAGAGCCGCAAAATAAGCCCCTGTTGGACATTCCCCCGCATGGATATGCGGCTTTCCGGTATTCGATACACAAAGCATCGCCCCTGCTGGTTTGAAGACGGGGTAGCAGCTACTATTTGAGACAAAAATTGAGAATGGTAGACGGAAATGATTATCTTAGGACATATTGAGATATCCGCGTTGAGTCCGGAACTAATGCCCCGCGGTGAGGCCGCCAAGCAGGGAAGATTCGAAGCGAGGAACTCGATGCCTCACATTACTTGCTGAGTACTGCCGAACAGTGTCTAGCTCGCTTGCTCCATCCAGTGGATAATAGACCCCTCATTGGGTAAGGAAACATGCCTATCTATGTGTTTTGGCTCTCGGGGGCTACTTTGACCCCCAAACTGGAGCACACTCCGGATGTAGAGCCGGCCAAGTGGTGTCGCTTTCGTTATTATGATCAGCTTGGCAAGGGTGAAGACAAAACAAACATTTGAACTACTTCGTACGTATGACACCCAAACCGAGTCAAGAGCAGAAGACGGGAGGATAAAATGTGCCACGGCAGACATAGTCCGAAATGAAGCCCGCGGCCGTGTCTTTCCAATCGGCTCCCTGTCGAAGGCTGCCCAAGCGGCGGCAGTCAGGTTCAAAAGTTTGAAAGCGGGCTGGGCCATTGAAGAACATTCGCCGTGAGGGAGGACATATCAATGATTTCTGTGATTGGGTGGATCCCACAATAGAGTTTTAGCACTGACTTCAACAACGTAGGTATGTTGCTAGTCGTTTGCTGAAAGCCCAGTGAGTGCCGAATTCATTGAGCCAATAGGATGGGGACATGAGGAATGACAGATGTGGTGACAGACCGAAAAAACCGCGCAGTAAAATTGCAAATATTCTTCGTTCGTTAGGTTTGCCTTTACATATGCTTGCCAATAGTTAAAAAGTCAGTTCATAGACTTCAGCCCTGGGATGCATCGTTCGGTAGCGAGATGAAAGACGGGTTCTTTGCTCAGATATTCTGGATATGATCCAATACTGTATTGGCATGAGACTAGCCTCCTCGGCCTTAATAGGTATACTGCCAGACAACACTGCCTTCCTAAGTAATGTCGCTTATAGACACTGGTTGTTTTACATAGGGCACCTACTTAGTTAAACTGTACACTAGAAGGCACTACCATAGGAGACAAGACACCTTTGACACTATAAATTACAACCCCCTGGTGACTCTGCTTTTGCGCTGTATATCTATTCGTTAGAAAGCCGGTATAAATCAAATTTCCAAGTCGATAGAGTTGGGCTTAAAATCGGAAGAAATGGAGCTTCTGAAGCTTGCGTTGACTGCGGTAGCCAATAGGCGTACAGGTAAACAGGCCTCCATCGATTAATTTGCATTGGTTAGGTATATGACGGTCAATGCGTTGTTGCAAGGATCGATGTTCATCACAGTCCATGTTGTCTTTAACGACAAGGGATTTCCCGAGCGATCTTTGCTAGTTCAAGTCACGGTAACATCGAAGCTACCATGTGTCACAAGCAACTCAAAATCTGCGAAACTATCAAGGTCAACGACATGTAGTTCCAGAGACGAAAGGGGACGGGCTGGACACTTGGGCAATCCAGGTTATCGTCAGCAATACCAAACCATGGCAATGATTGAGCTTATGGGCCTTTTGGAAAGGCCGGATTCAATGTTACCATTATTCTCAGAAGCACGTCGCATCCTACATCTATACTCGCAAGTGTTTGTACATTGTTGAGGCCTGAACCAAGCCAACATCAAGTGTAGGCTTCCAGCTCTTTCTCAGTCCACTCCCACAGCTTCTCGCTAAGCTCTTCGTTCTTCGCATGCTTGGAATCCCTTCCCTTGACGCCCACCGGCCAGTAAAACACGCCGCTTTCAGCATCCGGGCTAACCGAGGCCCAGATCTGGTTCTTGGCCCCATCGGCGACAGAAGATAAGACGAGCGGTGCAAAGATACCCAAGATTGGTTTGATCAGCGGCCAGCTGGCTTCAAGGCCGCTGGTGAGGTTCGTGTTCACACTTCCCGGGTGCACAGATATGCAGCGAATCTCAGGGTATCGCTTGGCGAGAGCCCTGGAGTGGTGAATATTGGCAACCTTGGAGGCGCCGTAGCGGGCCCAGGTCCCCGTGGATGCCATATCGGTTTTGAGGTCGTCAAAGTTGTAAAGGTCACTCGGAACCCAATTCTCCCCCACCGAGGAGAGTGAGACAATGCGCACGTCCTTATCAGGGCTCGTTTGGGCAGTGTGCTGCAAGGTGGGCAGCAGCAGTTTGGTCAAGAGAGCATGGCCCATGTGGTTTGTGCCGAACTGGATCTCGTAGCCCTCCTTGGTCGTGCTGGGCGGCCACGCCATGATGCCTGCGTTGTTGACGAGAATGTGCAGGGTCTCCGACTTGGAGCGGAACTCGTTCGCAGCTCGTTTGATGCTCTCGAACGACGTCAAGTCGATCTCCAAGAAGGTGATTGGAGCTGCTTTCGGTACTGCCTTCTTGATGTCCTCGATCGCGGCCAGGGCTTTGGCCTCGTTCCTGGCGGCAAGGTAGATGTGGGCTGGATTGTTGTCAGGATATTCAACTGTTCAATAGTGGAGCCGATCCATAGTCACGTGATTTACTATCACGTGACTTACCCTAGCGGCTCACTTACACCACTATAAATATCTATAGTAACTACTTCTTCTTTTTTTTCTAATTATCTATCTTAATAAGTAACTAGTAGTTAATTAAACTATTACTACTTTATAATTATAATCTTTATAATACTAACACTAATTAGTAGTTAACTTTATAGTTATTACTACTATAGATTAGTAAGGATTATTAAAAGAGGCTATAATACTTTACTTACTATAGTAGCTTAGATTAAAGTATTAAAGTGCTACTTAGCCTAAAGATTATTAGTACTTAGGATCTTATAATACTTAGTAAATAACCCTTTAAGCCTTATATTTACTATATAATAACTACTATTATTACTATTAACTTTATTACTTTTAAAAAAGTCTTTTTCTTTATATACTACTTACTTACTAATAACCTTTATAGTATTTAGTATAATTATTTTCTTTTTATACTTAAGTTTCTTTAAGTTTTTTTTTTTATTTTTTAACCTTTTTTTTTTCTAATTATTAAGATTTTTATTTTACTAAGTTTTTATTTTACTATAGTAATAATAGCTTATATAAGATTATAAGTAAATAGACTTTTATAAGTTCTTATTTAAATAAGATCTTACTAGTAAGATTAGCTATAAAGTAGTTAAGTAAAAACTACTTAAGTAATCTACTTTTAATATAGTATTTATAAATAAATAGCTTTTACTAATCTTACTTTTATATACTTTTAATATTATATTATTAGCTAGGTGTAGCTTATAGTAATTATAACTTTTTTCTTTAACTAAATAGTTAGTAGCTAAGTGTTACCTTTAGTAAGTATACCTCTTTTTATTCTTTAAGTAAGGTAAAAAAAGTAAAAGTTACCTATATTACCTTAATTTACTTACTTTTTTTTATCCTTTAAATACTTATTAATAACTATACTATCCTTTTTACTTTTTCTTTTTTTTTAAGTAAAGTATAGTTATTAGTAACTAATATAACTTTTACTTAACTTTACTATCTTAATTAATCTAAAAAAACTACTTATTATTTACTTTTAAGTAAAGTATATAACTTTAACTTTTTTTTTTTTAAAAAAAAATCTTTAACTATAGTATCTTACTTACTAAAAAGTAAGGTCTATATATATTTTTTTTTAGAGGTAGTATATGTCTTCTCTTATTCTTTAAGTAAGATCTAGCGTAAGGCCTCCCTAAAGCTATCTCTTTATATTACTAAAGCGTAAGGCCTCCCTAAAGCTATCTCTTTATATTACTAAAGTGTAAGGCCTTCTTAAAGCTATTTACTACTATCTATTTATTTATTATTTTATTTCTTTATTTACTTTATTTTTTACTTATACCTCTTTATATTATATTATTTATTTACTTATCTTATTATTATTTATACTAATAGTAGTAATTTTTTTAATATATAGATTTACTTTTAACCTTATAAGTAAGAAGTAAGTGCTTATAATTAAGAGGTTAGTAAGGCTAATAAAAAGTAATAATAGTAAAAAGAAAACTAAGTAAAAAGTAAAGTAAACTATAGGCGCTAGCTAAAGTAAAGAAGTATATCTATCTATAAGATATTAAGAATCTATATCTTATCTTAAAATATAGCTAGCCTTTTATTATTATATAACTATAAAGTATAACTAATTTAGCTAATATTCCTAATAGCTTTACCTAAGTTAAGTAATATAACGCCTTAAGCACTATTATTATACTTTAAATAATATAATATAGCTTTATATAGCTATATAGTTAATAGCTATAAAGATATACTACTAAAGACTTTAAAAAATAGTTACTTAATACTTTTAAAGGTACTACCTATAAAACTATTATTAAATTTAAAGACTACCTAATATATAAGGGCGTATAGGTATTAATAGTAAAGTTACTAACTATTACTAAATAAATCTACTATACCCTTAAGGCTAATAATCTAAAGGTGTAAACGCTTAAAGATATTAAAAAAAAAAAAAAAAAAAGTAAGGATTTTTACTTAAAGATTAATAAACCTAACTTTATATAAAATATTATAGACTTACTACTAGAAATAATATTAATATAAGATTAACTAGGCCTCTTTTATATTATTACCCCTTTAGTATAAGTCGCTTAAGTCTAGAAAGGTTAATAAAGGCCTATTAATCTAGCCTTATTATATAATAACTTAAATTTTATTTCTTTACTATTTAAGTAAGTAAGTAATACTTACCTTTACTTATTAGTTATACTAGTTACTACTACCTTACTTATAACTTACTAGCTTACTAACCTTATTAAATTATACCCTAATAAAATAAAGTATAATAAAAAAGTATATAAGTTACTTAAATTAAAGCTTATAATCTTTTATAACTACTATATAAAGGCTAAGATTTAGTAAAAGCACTTTATAAGCGCCTTTTTTATTATACTTAAAGGTAAAGCTATAAAGTACTATACTAACTATCTTTATAACTAGACTAACTTTATTACTATAGTTATATAAATAAGAGGTAATTTTAAGAATAAAAAGACTTTTTAGGCCTACCTTACTAAGCTATAAAGGACTAATTTAATAAAGACTATCTTAAATAATCTAGATAAAAGTAAGGCTAAATACCTAGAGTTACTTATTAAGAAAGTAACTACCCTTATAAGAATAGTTATAAGGATTAGTACCTTATCTAATATAGCCTTTTATAACTAATTACTTAACTTCTACTATAAAGTAGAGAAGTACTTTTTTACCCTCTTTAATCTATTATCTATATTTACTAGTATATATAGCTAGCTCTAATTAGTAATTAGTAATATAATATAATTTAAATAACCTATATATTAATACCTAACTAAAAAGGTAAAGGAGTAGTATTAGACTAACTACACCTATAATAGCTAGTAAAGTTACTAGTAGTTTAGCTACTATAACTATAGCTATAGTAATTTTACACTATAACGCCTTTTTAATAGTAATTTATAGTAGTAAGCGCCTTTTTCTCCCTTATTATTATTTATAAAGAAGTACTATATATATAGTAAGCCTAACTATTAGTTAATAAGGCACTTAAAAAACAAAAGGTAATAAGCCTACTATAAGTATAAAAAGCAGTATCTAACAGACTTTTTACCTAAAGCCTTTAACTACTTTATAACTAACTTTAAGGGATATAAGCTATTTACTTTAAATAAAGAAAGTAACTATATAAAAAGTAATAAAGATAAAGAATTAGGCACTACGTTTTATACGTTAATAACGTTCTTTAACTTATCTACTATTAATAGGCCTGCTTTTTTTTATTACTATATAACTAATCTATAACCTATTTTCTTATAAAAGATAACTCCTTATATAAGAATCTATATAATAATAAGCTACCTAATACAGACGTCTTTACCTTTAATAAGTAATATTTATTTATCTTATTATATAGTATTATACCTAACTCTAGTATAGCTAAATATTTAATAGCTAGATATAAGTAGTATCTTACTTTTTACTACTAAATAAAAAGAAATCTAGCTATAAATAAGTTATAAGTAGGTAAAGTAAAAATCTACTTTAGTAGTAGTAACTACTTTAAATTATAAAAAGTAATTAATATACTAACCCCCTTTAGTATACTAACCTTTTATATAATACTATTAAATACCCTGTTTCTACTTTACCTTATAAATATAGATTAGTATAGTATTAAATTTAATAACCTTACTAATAAGCTAATTTAAGGTAATACTATTATACTTACTATCTAAAAATAAGGCTATATATAGATACTACTTAATTAACATAAGTAAAGTATTACTTACTACTATCTTATAGATATAAAGTTATAGTAAATTTATTATTACTTTAGCTACCTATTAGTCTAAAGGCTTTATTACGTCCTCTAATAATCTAGTAATAAAGTTAAGATTATAGCCTTAAAGAAATTAACTAAGGTTTACTACTACTACTAAATAAATATAAAGGCGCCTAGTTACTTTAAATTTACTTTATATAATAATAAATATAACTTTAACTATAAGATTATTATTAATATTATTTACCTTAATAGTAACCACCTAGCCTTATATATAGTTAATACTATAA